AGAACCTAAGACCAAAGGCCCACTGAACTAATTGTCTTGGACCTAACACTAAACTGACAATCCTGGTCACGTTATTTTTGAGAAGAGATGATAAGTAGACAGAAGAAAAATCATCTTGCAGTTTGGACAGTCTGTCTCTAGTAAAGTCTCTATTTTTTACACTAAAACTAATTTATGTCGGTAACTACTGTCACAGTGAAGTGTTTGCAGCATGGAAAAAGTATGGAAAATATGATGCAAGTACATCACTTTTTCGGTCTTCCTGCACTTGCCAATACCGAGCGCTAGATAATGAATCTCTCCCTAAGCCAACCTTCTCCAAAGACTTTTTTTTTTTTTCCCCCCAAAGAAAGTTCAGACATGAACAATTACTACTACATAAGCAGTTTCTAAGCACTTAAAAGAGGTATACATACAGCCTATGAAGTCTGTCATCTGCAAAAGTATGATATGCTTGGCATTGTCTTTTCTTATGAAAGAATGCTAATGGCATGTTGGAGACCGTCAGCGATACCTCCCCAAGGTAAGGCAGTTTTCAAGGACGACTGGCTCTACAAGCCATGAATGACTCTGTCCAAGCCACATCATTAAAAATGTAATGATTATGGAGACCATATGTTTTTCTTGTTACAGAATTAGTCATTAAATTCTGCCTTTTCCAGTTGTAAACCGATCTTGTAGGCAGGATGACAACTTTATGAAGAAAATAAAATAAGCACAGAGTTATAGTCTTTTTATATGTATATATTCTAATAAAAGATTTTTTAAAAAGCATGTAGTGGGGTCAGTATTTTTGCCAGTTTCACATACCTCGGGGAGGAAATATGGACCCACAAATTGTTCAATTTTTGCTAATGGCTCGCCAAAAAAGCAAAGTAATAGAAAATAAATTCCCCAATGGGCTGTAAGTAAAAATGCATTTTAAAAGATAGAAAAATGCCAGATTTTGAACATACAGGATTACTTCAGGAATAACGGCTGTCAAATACATTTCACTCAACAACACCTCAGTGTTAGCTGAAAACTTCTTTACCGATCCCAAAAGCAATATCTGAGAAGCATGAGCAAGAAACTGGTAAAAGAACATGAAGCCCATCTAAATAAACAGCTGCACCAACAGCAACAGAGGCACCCAATAGAATTTCTCCACAGAATACAGGTTTTCTAGGGAAGATCATAACCAGAGCGGATGCTTTCTCTGTAGCTCACGAGGTTGTTTCTATTGACTAAGGCAAGTATGTCTTTTGCTTCCCAGGTACACATCTCGGCAACCTGCATCTGAGCCCACGACAACCCGTAGGAGCGACAACTTGGCTTCAGATAGTTCGTACACCCAGCTTGGCACACAAGGATTTTTCGAGAGGCTTACCATGTTTTTGAAAGCTTCCCTCGACTTCTCTGTTTCTCAGGATGGTCCTGGGTAGGTCAACCTGTGAAACTTGGAAGTTGCAGTTTAGAAAGCCACAACTTGCACCACCACCCTGCTAAATTCCTAGCCATTGGCTTGTCACAAGGCAAGAGCAGCCTTTTCTTTCCCAAGCTTTTATTAGTGCTGACGTGAGACACAGAGTTTGCTGTCTATTCACACCCTGAGCATCTTCCTCTCCATGTGTACATCAGTAGAGGTGAAAATGTCCACGGCAGAACACTGCCTGCAGAAGTAAGCTACCTGGAGGGGAGTGGAGGCGTGTCTCTTAATGCCTTGCTTTGACTTTTGATGAATTAAATCACAGGCTGAGTGGCAAAGAAAACTTAAGTATTAAGTAAGCTCTCTGTGTCTATTCCAGCTGTGTGACTTTTTTTTTTTTTCAGAAAACATTGTCATCTGCTTTTCAGTACCATCAACTCTTTAATAAATTCAGAAAGCAGTATGTATTTTGAAAATCTCCAGAACACCTCAAAAAAGACCAAGTCAGCTTAATCTTAGTTCGAACTTCTGCATTTAAAAAAAAAAAAAAAAAAAAGAGCGCCTATTACTGATGCAATATTTAAACACAACAGGAGGAGCTATTGGGTCAGAATAGCTGCTACAATCATCCTTTTAAAGCTCTCTGCTTTAAAATCCTTGCTGAGTTTTCAATGATAAAGAGGCCTTTACTATTTGAAATAGGCTGTATAAAACCAGAGGATCTTCATCTCTTCTAATTAAATAAGTTTTATCAGATAAAAAAAAGCCAAAGCAGAAAAAAATATAAGATTGCAGAGAGGACTGCAATATAGTTTTCATAGTTTTTAAGGAACTGCTTTGAATTTAAAACTTTAAACTGCTGGATATCACTAAACACCCAGTTCTTGCAGGCACTGCAGATTCATAAAAGCCATTTAAACTACCAGCTCTGACTCAAGATTGATACATTTAATATATACATTTGCTTAGAGCAGCCAAAATGATGTGACTCAAATTCTAGGAGATTTAAATGTCCTAAAGAGTTTTGCACTGGCTTCACCAAAACCACGTAAGATTGACCCGTGTTTACTAAACACGTGAACTTACAGGTAGACCAGGCTCAGATGTACGCATTTTCTTTTTGAAAAAGAACATGTCAAGCCTTTCATAATCAATGTTACAGAGCAGAATCTGATTTTGTTTCAGCTTCAAATACCAAAATGTTTATATTTTGCTGAAACATAAATCAATGGAGATAATTATACAAATATTCATATTTATCACATGAAACATTAGTGTGGATTTTAAAGAACCGTGGTTCTGTTTCATTAGATGACAACTTACAGACAGGGGTACTGAGCAGAACGTGTTACACTGTACAACTCCACAGGTCACGTAATCTCTTGCATTGAAAAGTAAGCGCTCTGCGAACATTTACTCTCTTGGTATGCCGCGTACGTTGGGATAGCTTGAGCTTGACTAAAAGTTTGCTACTGCAAATAGAATAGCCAAGCTGCTTAAAGCATATTCGAGAAGCTGTGTTTTACACTGCTGCTAGTATTTTTCTATTAGGATTTGAAGACTGTTCTCATATGGCTAAAAAACTAGCATGGCCTGCCATTTTAGTTTCTTTACTGATGTTTACAGCTCATGTTATGACCAATGACTCAGAAAGTGGGTAAGCAGAGGCTAAAACTCCTTTTAAGAAACATCCGGGCACAAACGGAACCACGTGACATCTTCGGCACCTACTTCTAAACGGGTAAAATTTGGAGAGAAAGGAGAGATTGGATGTGAATGAAACCCTTAGGCGCTTCTAGAGCTTGGTCTGTCCCAGTAATGCTATAATGGTTTGCTGCGGTAGTGGGCAGACCAGACTCAGATGGCCCTTCTGGCTCTTGTGTTGTTCTGTCTAACCCTAGTAGCAAGGGCAGTATCACAAATAAATTAATCTTTAAGAGCTAGAACCCGTCATTCCTTCTAACCTGACAACATGCTTGAAAATAACACTGAGTGGTTCCACTGAAGTCAATAAAATGTTTTGGTTTTTTTCAGGCAGGTCTTCAAAGATACCGGGGATCTAAAGGTGCAAATTGACATCTGAAGTATCCTGCTAGGAGCTACACCTCACCACCTTTAGCGAAAGCGAGCTGCCTGGATGCCGCAGAGGTTCTGTAAGCATGTACCTTCATCGGACATTTCCTGGTGCCTCCAGCGCTCTGGTCCCAGGTGACTTGCGTTGGCCCGCTGCACTACTGAGTAACTTACCAGCTGGATGGTTTGCAGGCAAAAGTATAGGGTTAAGGAGGTCGGGCCTCAAATGTGCATCAAACAGCTTCTCTTCCAGTGCCATGAGGTTGCTGGTTTCTTAAAAAAGGCTTACAAACCCCAAAAAATCCGCCCTGCGCGCCCTTCCATACCATTGCTTTTAATGAAACTTGCTTACCTCTCGAGTCTGTACATTTTTATTTGTTTTTACTAAAAAGCAAGTTATTTCGTTTGGCAGGATCTACATACTCACAACTTTTTGCGGAAAAGACATATTACAACAGCATGTTTTAAATCAAGAGTGTCTCAAGCAGAACAACAAAAGGGAAAGAAAAAGTGCTTTAACATTGTTGTCAAATATTTATTAAAACAACACACGAACTTTTTTCACCCAAACAGTGATTCTGCCTGCAGTATCTGTAACCCAGTAGCCACGTTACCCCAACTTGACAGTTAAATAGCAGTGAGTCTGAAAACCCAAACAATCCTCCCCCTCCATCCCACTAGGCACTTTTGCTATTGTCTGGGAGCACAAATAATTTTATTAATAGCTGAGCTAGCAAAAGTACAAAGACACCAACAAGAAATGTGTCACTGTGCTGGCACAGACAAAACCTTTTTGTCTGCTTTAGAGAAACGCTCCAAGAAACCAGTTTGGGGATCTGAAACTACAATCACCGCTAGGACTCCTTCTTCTTACTATGAAGATCTGCATCAGCATTCTCAGGATCTGACATCAGCCTTTTTTGGCTGGCTCGTGGGGTTACGATAGCTCAGAGTCACAGATAAGCAAGCCTGGAAGAGTACGAATCCTGCCAGAATAGTGCCCGTCTTTCAAAACGCGAGTGGGAATCACAGCTTTAAGTCACGTAGCAGAACAATGTTTAACGCGCGTAGAATACATACCGTTACAAAAGGTTAGGAAAGGTAATAGAGGGCGAGAGGGGAGCAGCACCACGAGCGATTTAAGCCTCTGCGCCGCGCGAGTCCGGAGGTGGCTGGCGAGCACCACGCTCGCTCCGCGTGGGCGGCAGGTGAGCCGCAGCGGAACGGGCGATCCCGAAACCGACGGAGTGCGAGAAAGCGCGCCTCGCTTTGTGAGCGAAGACGGGCGATGCTAACGGGAGGGTGGTAATTTTTTTTTAAATACGGGCTATTCGCTTCACCGTACCCCTGACCTCCCGGCTTACGGAACGGCGCGATTCGCTTGGGAAGTCGGCTAGAATAAATAAGTTTTGCCGGGACGAAGGACGACGTCTTGGCTCGAGGAGGATGCTCCGTCCAGGGGGAGCCCGGGGCTGCTCCCTCCGGCGCCTCCCGGGCCCGGGGGCCGTCCGGAGCCCCCTCAGGCTCGGAGATAGTCGTTCTTGAGGCGGCTGAGGCGGGCGCCGTGGCTTCGGACGGTGAGGGCGAGGAGGTCGTGCTTGTCCCGCAGCCCGCTGGAGATGTGCCGGGTCTCCCGCAGCAAGGCGCGGGCGTGCAGCAGCAACCCCAAAAAGCTGTCGCCCAGGCGGGCCTCCTCCCGGCCCCCCTGCTCCTGCCCCTGCCGGAATTTGCCTTCCAGCTCGCTCAGCGACCGGTCCGAGCTGGAGTAAGCGTCGCTGATCTGGGCGGATTCGCGGCGCAGGTAGGTGCTGTAGCTCTCCTCCCCGTCCAGGTCGTAGGAGATGCTTTTGCCGATGCCCTCCAGCACCCGGCCCGCGTCCTCCACCTGCCGGCCCAGCACCGTCAGCTCCTCCCGCAGGCTGAGCCCGCCGCCGCCGCCGCCTCCTCCTCCTCCTCCTCCTCCTCCTCCGCCCGCCGCCCCGCACCGCCGCTGCTCGCTCACCCTGAAGAGCAACTGGCACCGCTCGGGGTCGTCGTTCTCCTCGTAGTCCCCGTCGGGGACGAAATAGTGGTGCAGGCTCCCGTTAGACATCTCGGGGTACAGCGGGCCTTCGAAGTACCCGCGGCACAGCCCGCACACCCAGCCCAACCACAGCACCCGCACCGCCGCCGGCATGCTGCGGGGCAGCCTCAGGGCCG